AAATCGAACCTTTTTAGACATGGTTCGATCAATGATGGGTCTTAGTGAACTTCCTATCTTTTTTTGGGGACACACACTTCTAACTGCGGCACTAACACTGAACCTTGCTCCGTCAAAAGCTGTCAAAAAGACTCCATATGAATTATGGACGAAGAAACCTCCACGGTTGTCTTTTCTTAAGATTTGGGGTTGCGAAGCATATTTCAAAAGATTAATTTCTGACAAACTTCACCCTAAATCTGACAAGTGTTTCTTTGTGAGCTACCCAAAAGAAACCAAGGGGTATTACTTCTACAACAAATCCGAGAACAATGTGTTTGTTGCTCGTGATAGTGTCGTTTTGGAAAAGGAACACCTTTCCAAAATGACAAGTGGGAGGAAAATCGACTTTTATACTTTAAGTGTTTTGACTTTTATCATACATCATCTCATAACCATTTCTTTAACTGTTTTGACTTTTATCATACATCATCTCATAACCATTTCTTTAAGTCTTTTGACTTTTATACTTTGTTAAGCATAATTAAGCATCTAGTGCGCCGTAAAACAAAGTTCTATCTTTTCCTTTAATTCGTACTTGAATTACTATATCAATGAGTCCTACTCATTTGTGTGTAAAGCGAAAAGATATGTTGGTTGTCAACTATTCATAATTTGAGTTTTCAACTCAATACATCATGTTTATCAAAACTACCTAGTATTTTGATTACATGATGTCGAACCATCCTTTCAGACTTTAGTTATAAAAGTCATTTATGAGAAGTTGTATTTTAGAAATGTTTTTTCTTCCTTTGAGAACCATTCTCAAAATATTTCCTTTTACCAATCATTGGAAGCAATATAGTTTGATTTAGAATTCTACAAATACAAGTGCAAAGTATAACCATTTATCAAGATAAAAACATTATAAGTTTGAAATTTAAAGCGTACATGCAAACTTTCAATCTTATTAAGCATCTTATCCACGCATTAAAATTGTTCCTTTTAGGCGATAATAAAACGATTCCAAGATCCCAAAAATCAGAAAGTGATTAAGCATGCTTTAGCTTGTCTTAACACTTAATATTTTAAGGTAAGCAATCTAATTGCTAATGGCTCTAAGCTATTCTTGGTTCGATAAAATGTCGCATCTAATGCTATCATGGCGTTTATCTCCATTGCCATGACACCTAAGGACCCCTTACCGATATCGTTTATCTCCTAGCTTTGGCGTAGCCCATCACTATTCACATTAGTTCGGTAAGTGTTATTTTGGAATGACAATTTTGACTTAATTTTATAGGGACCTAGGACTTCTATGTTGGTTGATTTAAGTGAACTTAATTAATCATCGCAACATTCGAAATCCTAAACATGCATCTAACATATCATTCATATATAAGCATAATTATATATAGAAAACATAAGTAAAAGATGCATTTGGCAACTAGCATGACCCCTTGAGTCTTCAAGGGTCTTCATCACATCATCTTGGCCTCGTCTTCTAAGAATCGCCATCTACGAGACATCGCCGATAATAATGCAACTACTAGTAATTATGACTAGGACTAATCTAAAAATTAAGGTACAAAATACACGACGGTACGCAGACCGTATTTAGATTTACAAAAATACATAACGGAACACAGTCCGTATTTACTATCCTAGTCGGGCCCCACTAGTTGCCATTTTCATAAAACCTGTGATAGAATATTCATTCCATTCACTATATGTGAATGACCCATGCATTTTACAACGTAAAACAAGCAATAATGCAAAATATGCGCAAACTAGTAACTAACTTTGGTGGTTAATCCAATTAACACGCCTAAGTAAAACTAGTCAAAGTTGTTAACCGATTATGCGATCAAATGCAATAAAATTAGCTCAAATAATTAATGAAGCTCCCACTTAATTCCGCATCCAACTTAATTAAAATTAATCCAATTAATTAAATTAAGTCGGTTTACCCAAATTTTGCCAAATTATTTTGCAAGTGCCAGAAAAACTGAGGCCTAGCTTCGTTAAAATAATTAAAATGGCAAAAATTGTAAAATCGCATAGCCCTTCAATGCGTGAGTGCCTAGCACCAAGCAATGAGGCTTGGTTTGTTAGGCACCGAGCCACAACTGCCTTGCGTGGGTGCTGCCCCGCACAGCCACTGCTACGCCAAGCAGCCTGTTTGTGGCTGACAGCATCGCACCATGTGCTTTATGCTGGCCTTAGCAACGCGCTTGCAATGCCAGACAGTGTAGTTCTCAAAGGCCCTTGCCGCTGTGCGAGCTGACCCTGCATAGCAGCCGCACAGCACACCTCGCACAAGTACCTCCCCGCACCATGTGCACCAAGCTCCGCACCCTGCTCACGCGCACACCTGCACCGGCAACATCACATTCACGCACCACCCGCACTCCTAGGCAGCCATATGCGGGCTGCGCAAGCAGCCTGGCTGGCCGAGTGTTGTGCTTGGGGTTCATGCCTCGATTTGCGTGCTTGTGCCTCAGGATTTTATCCCGATTTTGTGTGACACAAATAATTAATTCTAAATTAATTTTAGAACCAATATTGAGCAAAAATGAAAATCAAATAAATCCAACTTAAATAAATTCAATTTTTAGTGCACAAACCAAATTTAATTCAAGAACCATTCTTTAAATTATTTTCGACTAAATTTGATGCTATAACAATTTGAGAGATATGCTCACAATTAATTTAACCAAACATAAATTAATAATGAGATTTGACAAAATAAAATGAGTTGGAAAAATAAACACAATCCTCCAATGAAAATTTCCAACACTAACTAGTGTAAACTTGAAAAATTACATTTTCCAATATGAAGATTAATTAAATTTCACTCAAGAGTTTTGAACTTTTAAGACTTTAATCAACTAAAAAATGATTAAATAAAAAATTAATTCAACATGGAATCTCGAAAGTAAAGTTCCAACCAAATAAACAATTAACGATTGAATCTTTAACACTTTAGGGGCTGCAAAAATAACGAATTCACCATAAACATTCACACTCAAAGCAATTATTTTGCAAAAATGTGAAATTGCAAGTTTATGTGAAAAATGAGCCAACCAAGTTAAGCACCTATTATAACTTTATAATCATGCTTAAAAAGGCTTATAATTGCAGTAGATTAATGATGTAACCATACACATAATCTAACATGCATTAACATGCCATAATTAATCATGGTTTAAAGATTTAAATTTTTTTGTCAAAAACGAAAAAAACCCCTCGAAAAACATCGATTCCACCCAAAATTCACTACTTTTAGGTCGAAGTCTGGGTTCTTGAGCCAAAATTAGGTTAAATTCGAGATTAAAACTAATTAAAACGAGTTTCTAATCTAATTAGAAAGCAAAACCAGAATTTTAAGTCCATTTGAATCACCTTAATTAATTATTAGTTACAATAATTAAATAAGCGCGGCTCCGATACCGCTGTTTGGTTTCGTGACGTCCAACATCACGCAGAATGAAACCCTCCCAAAATCCGCACACAAATTTAAGTAACTAAACATGCATATTAATTAACAATCACATAATTAATTAACAAAGAGAGAAAGAAAAGACGATCATACCCCTGATGCGTTCGCTATTTCTTAGAGCTCGTACTTGAAAGCGTAAAGCTTCGCAAATGCGCAAGCCTCCAACAGCTCTCACCCTCGAGACCCAACCATAACGGCCCCTACCCCGAAGCTTAGTCGGGGCTAGACCAAAATAATACTAGAGTATTACGAACTTAAAGGTTTTCTCACCTATAGGGAGATGCCTTATTGATTTCAACGCAAGTGATAATCTCAACTCCTAAAGTTGGTATTTATAGGCAAATGCTCCCAAAAACTTCAATCATCTTTCCATGTGGGAGATATGATGGAGTGAGAAAAATAAGCAATTAATGTAATTCCAAATTAAATTAAATTAGCTATGCAATAGTCAAATGACAAGTGTCAACATGAGGGAGGGAGTAGATAAGGACCACAAGCCCATCCTTGGAAAGCAAGCATACACCCACCAACCCCATGTGCATGGCACACCCCAAGACTTGGGCCACAAGGCATGCCATGTGGCATCCTTAGCCCTTCAACTGGGCTATTTGCCTTAAGCACCAAGGCCCGGCCTTCGCTGGCTGCCTTATGGTCTCGGCTGGGCTAGCTAACGCGACCCATCGCAGCATAGCAGGCCTCGCACGCTTACGGGCCCCTATTGCAGCTTGGTTGTGCTGCTGCCATCGCAAGCCCAAGCGGAAGCCGGGCTACTACTGCTGCTTGCAAGCCACAACATATGCTAGCAAGGCCTAGCTAGCTGTGCTAGCTGCTGGGTCCTTGCTTGCGATGCTTGCGCACCATGCACTCGGCAAGCTGCCCCAGCCAGCCCACGCACGTGGCTTGCTAGGCTTGCGGCCAGTGCAAGGCTTGCGGCAGCATCAAGCTGGCCCTTGCCCTTGCTCGGCTAGGCCGATGCGAGGCTAGGACTGTATGCCTTGACTTGTTGTTTGACTTATTTTCTCGTCTTCTCGATTCGTTGAATCGACTCTACGCATGACGCTCGGTTTTGACGCTCTAAGCTCAGAATCCGACGTCCTTGTTCGTAATTCCCTATTAACTCATTTAATCCTTTGGATTAATTCGTCATTTTTGTTCGGTTACTCGATTGGGTGTAACCCGAAGGGTTCAGTCAAGATTAAGCTATAATATTAATTATGCATTAATATTACTGATCGAAAGCGGCCTCCAGCTAGGCATTCCGATCACTTGACCTCACTGAAATAATTAGCTTTCTAATAAGTCCGAACCCTTTATCAAAATAATACACTTGTACGAAGGACACCATTCCTTTCAGCTGTGGCCTTAACTATTCTGGCCGGCTGACGGTCATTAACTGCTACGCTTGCTCTTTCTTAATTGACTTGCGCGTCTGGCCGACCTGGTATGTTTGGAGTGATCCTTCTTCGGAATTTTTCTCGGACGTGTTTCCCCGTCCACGAGTTGTTGGCTTCACCGCCAACTAATTGCATTCCTTTGCCATCTTCTGATTTCTTTGAATGATCTTCCCATCAAACTGCTCAAACTTCATCAGCATTAAATGTGGGACGATTACTGCCTTAGCTAATGTCAAAGTGGGGCGGCCAAGGATGACATTGTAGCCTGCAAGTTCTTTAACAACTAGGAAGCAAACGACCATATCCCTTCCCTCTCCCTTTGGACCAAATCGGACGGGCAAGTCTATCCGTCTATCCGGGTGAATAATGTTCCCACCAAACCCGACCAACGGATGAGAGATATCCTTGATGGCATCCTCTTGAAACTTCAAGTTTTTCAAACAAGCTAAGTTGATTATATCGGACGAGCTGCCTATGTCTATCAACACTCGACCGACCTTTAAATTGACAACTTTCAAGATGAACACCATGAGGTCATTGTGAGGGGCTTTGATCAGACCTCGGTCTAACTCGCAGACCGTCACCTCTGGAAAGGGCTCTACCTTCACCCCTTCAGTATGCATTACATTTCAAAAATTCCAAGCATCTTGCTTAATTCCTTTCATTGTCGGGCCGCCTACAGCAAAGCCGCCTGATATAACGGGCACAAATCCTGAATCAGTGTTGTTTCCATCACCTTCTTTCTCTTTGTTTTTCTTCTTCTCAGATTTGTTGTCCGTCCGAGAGTAGGTGAACTTGGACTTTAGAACGAACGAGTTGAGCATGCCATCTTCTGCCAACTATTCTAGTAATCTCTTCAAATGGTTACAGTCGTTCGTGTCATGCCCCACGTCTTTATGGTAATGACAGTACTTGTTCTTGTTTCTGTACTGGGTCGGCCCTCTCAAGGGCTGAGACTTCTCAAACTCGAACTTGTCTTTGATCTCCATCAAGATTGAATAGCAATCCTTGTTGTACTCATACTGGGGCTCGTACGTCACTTTCTTTGATTTTTTCTGTTGGCAGTCGGCCACCCAGACTCCTTTTCTTTGGTTGCTTCCTTATTTCTTTTTGCCGACCAAGTCTTGCCGAGAAGGTTGTTTCTTCTTGGCCCCCTTGGTCGACTCTTCTGATTTTGTAAGGGAACAAAAATCAGCGGCCTCTATATATGATTCAGCCTCCCGAAGAACACATGCGTATGTCCGAATCTTTTTCCTGACCAAGTCAAACTTGAATCCATTATGCCTTAACCCTCAAAGGAACTCTAAGTAGGCCATCTCATCCGACAGATTCTGAATTTGGGCTTTCTCCTGATTGAACCTCTAGACGTACGAGCGCAACCCCTCTTTCTTTCCTTGGACAATGGTTTCCAAGTTAAGACTAGTCTTCCGAGGTGGTATATTATAGCAGAAGTTTCCAACAAAAAATAGATCGAGAGTTGTAAAACAATTGATGCACCCGGCCGGCAGACTATTGAATTAGTCTTGTGCCACACCCTTGAGGGTGGTCGGGAAGCATTTGCACTATGTGGCATCATCCACATTTTGAAGGTACATCAGGTTTCTATACGAGGTGACGTGCTTTTTTGGGTTTCTCGTACCATCATAGGCTTCCACAAGTACATTTTTCACTTTTGCTGGTTGAGGAGAATTGAGAATTTCTTGAGAAAACGGAGGCGTCTTGTCACCAAGATTCAACAATCGCATTTGCCAACCAATGGGCTGAGGTTGTGCGGCCTGTCCGCCCAGGTAAGCTGCCTGGTTGTACGGCTGGCCATATTGCCCGTACTGTCCAAAGAGAGGGGGAGCAGGCGGTAGAATTGTGCCATAATTTTGATATTGAAATGGTTGAGTTAGAGGAACTAGGGTTGGAGTACGGTGAGCTTGACTTCTGCTGGTCTTGGCCGATCTGGTATACTTGGAAAGAGTATGGTCAGAGAAATCATCCGGCATGGTGGGAGTGGAGGTTGTGTTCGAGTAGATTACCCGCTCCCGCTACTTATGCCGGATATAGTCTCTCGCATCCCTCTAGTGTCTGGACGGCTTATTCAGCTCTTTCTGAGGCTGCTTGGTCTGCCCCCAGTCGACTATGTTTTCTCAAGGAGCTTCGGCCAGTTCGTTTGAGGCACCCTTGGTGACCTTTCATGTCGTCAGAATAGGGTATTCCTAGCATCTTCAGCATTGACCGCCTTTCTCTGAGTTTTCTTTTGAGCACCTTCTCCTTCCCATCTGGACGGCTGTCTAAAGAAGAAGGGATCATACTCTCAAGCTCCCTTCGGAGCTTGTTCAAGGCGGCCTTCAAGGAACCAGCAATCACTCCAAAGGATCCTCAGCCTCATGAAATGAAGCAATCATAGGATCTCTTGTATTGATTGTAGCAATGAGATTCTCTACATGCCCGCCCTGACCAGGACCGGGTGTCTGACCATCTTTAGCCATTTCAGACGAGTATCCCCACAGATGGCGCCAAATGTTTCAGGGTTATTTGGAATCCCTTGGGATACTGATCATGAATATAGCAAGACGGTCTTTGACGCCTACAAAATAACGAATATTCCGATATACGGAATATTCGCCTCCGACGATCAAGTTAGTGATCGAAAAGCGAAATAAATGTAGAGAAAGAAAGTAGAGAGGTTGAAGCTTTCAATGCTCTTTGAATGATGTATCAATCCACCCCTCCCATCATAAATGATTAAGGTATTTATAAGGGAATGAAAGTGTGCCCCTTTAGTGTTAGTGCCCTGGAATTTCGTGCTCTGATTGACGGCGCAATCAGGAGTAGGCACGTGACCAAATAGGGGTGCTGTTTTCCGATTTTCTTGGGATTTGGGCCTCCTGATGTAAGGAGGCCCTTTGCTCTCATTTCAGGTGCTCATTATGTTTCTTGACACGTGTCATCTTCCTATAGAACACGTGTCGCCCTTTGACTAAGTCGCGTGTCACTATAGGATTGGATCGCGTGTTGGGGTATTTTTACCCTAAACAAGTTCTTAGCTCTCGTTATTCACCTTGGTTCTTAAATGATCTCAATTATATATATACATATATATATATATATATATATATATATATATATACATATACATATATATATATACATATACATATATATATATATACACATGTATATATATACATGTATATATATATATATATATATATATATATATATATATATATATATATATATATATACATGTGTATATATATATACATGTATATATATATATATATATATACACATGTATATATGTAGAAATGGGATCATATTGAGACCACATCCCTTATGTGAGAACTCTATAATATGCGAGGACTCATTATAACCGTTGGATCAATTACATCCAACGGTCACAATACAATCTCGGTCAAACAAAACAATTTCATTTCAAAACAATTTCCTGATTTTCTTCTCTCTCCTCTTTCCTCTTTCACGCGCAATTTTCTTTCTCCTCGTTCAAGTTCATCCGGTTTTCTACTCTCTTTCTCTTTGATTTTTCATCACAACTTCTTTAATCTTCATTAATTCTTCGTCAAGGTGAGTTTATTGTTTATATTTTGCTGTTTTTCAATTAATTTTATGTTACATTCATCGTTTATTCTTGTTTCGATTTTCATTTGATTTGTGTTGATTTCAGCTCACGTTGTTTGTTACTTTGTGTCAATTATGTCTTAGTTTGTTTTTTTTGTTGATTTTAGTTTTATTTTCGTTTCTTTGAGTAGTTATCAAGTTGATTTTAGTTTTATTTTACCTAATTTTCGTTATTTTCCAGTTTTTTTTTTTTGTTTTTTTTGGAAACCTAGAACTAATTGATAATTTGTGTTTTTTTTTTTAGAAATCATTCCGATGATCCTGCTTCAGCTATTTCCTGGTGCAAGAATGGGGATCTTGAGGAAGGAATATTTTGTGTGAATGCGGGTTTTGAATCGAGTTTTTGGGGTTCTTTTCCTTTTTCTGGTTTTCAGGGGTAATTGTGAATGCGACATTTCCCTTAAAATAAGTATTTACATTACTTGGAAACCTGATTTGTTATTGGTGTCATTTCCCTTAAAATAAGTATTTACATGATGTGGAAGTATTTTTTAGATGGTAAGCTTTGATGTAAAATTGATGGTCAAGTTGAGATAAATATGGGGTATGTATTGCAATGGTGATTATGGATTAGATATGGGGGATAAAGATATGGTTATTGCCGTATCAAACATAATTTATTCTTATAAGCATAAAGTATTCATGTTGTTTTCTTTATTCACTGTGATTACTACTCCCTCCGTCCTTAATTGTTTGTCCCTAAGCCATTAATTACTTAGTTATTTTTTGTTTGAGTGGAGTTGATGGATACGAGGCAAAATTGGTCGAGCCAATTGTATTGTATGTGAGAATAAAGTTTTGGACCTCATAGTCAAAAACGGAAATGGGGCAATTTTTAGGGGACGGTCTTAGATGGAATATTGAGTTATGACTACCTTAAGCTCAAGAAGATAGATACTCTTGATAATCAGCTACTGCTTTTGGAATATTGGTTTAGTTTCTGTACGACTATTGACTTCTGACTGGCTCGTGTTCATGCCAGGCAAAATATTGCATGAGATGGCCTTGTCAACCCAGATCTCATATGCTGCCTGCATCCGATTATAAACTTTCAGTTTTATGGCTAATGTATAATGCAAAACCCGCTCTTATATTCCTTCATCAAGCTAAATGAGTCAGTGAGACATTTGACTTGTAGAAATCTTGAGTTTTGTTGTTTCAGCAAGAATGAATGTTGAAGTATGTATTAATCTTAATCCTATTAGATAAATTTATTATTCCTTTGAAAAGTGTCAATCTAGTAGACAAATTGGACGGCCAAATTACTGAACTGGTAATCAGGACTTATTTATATTTGCTTCTTATGCCTGCTAGCCATTGACAATGGTAGCTTATAAGCTGAGATTTTTTTAAATATCTACTTTGTTCGAGTTGACACCAATATCGACTCTTCTGAGATGTCCACTGTTTAGAGTCTTGGTAATGCTTTGGTGATTTGAAGGTCTACTTCAATTCTCTGCTCTTAATCTGTATATATATTTAACCTGATCAGTTTGTCTTACCAATTATGCAGAAAACCTTTCAGTTTATGTCAATTGAATTCTTAAGTGTGGCATATTTTAGCATATTTGCAACAAGGAGAATTTGCTATGGCGAGGTTATCTGTTACTTTCTGTCACATGGCATGTTATGAGAGGGACATATGTTGCTGGGGGGATCATATATGTTATTTTCCACGTTGGGGGACGGTTGTGCCAATACTCCTCAAAGGTCTGTCAAACAAATTGGTAGACAACGTTAGAGCAAAATATTTGGGAGAAAATACAAAGGCAGTTGGGATCATTTGTATGGCTCACTCACCATTCACCAAGTAGTAGTTTTCAGGTCTAAGATCTCATTTTATGGTCTCAGCCTCAGCCCTTAAGTCACTGAGATATCTTGCTTCCACAGTTTCACGGGTTCAAGATGCTTTTCTTGGGCCTTCACTCTTGAACTAGCCTTTCTCCTAATTTTCTGTGGAAGTTGTTTAAAACCAAACCTTGAGGATATTTAG